ACGCTGCGGAACCCAACGTATGCGGAACCTGTAGGGACGGCTCTAGTAGGGACTAAAGAGCCTCGATGTGTTTGCGTTGGTTTTTCAAATAACCTCAAAGGTGCCAGTGCATGAGGCCCGTGTCTCGAGCGGCCCTTGGAGGCAAATGGCGGCGCAGCACTAAAATGACTGGCCCTTGAAAGCGAATGGCGGCGGAGCACCCGCTCGTGGCGCGTGTCTTGCGCGTTTCTATAGGTTGGCGGTACTTGTAAAAAACGCTTTTATCAAGGGGCTTTAGCAGGGACCCTGGGTTCAGTCGCCTATCTGCATCCTACCGTCGTGCGATCGTGTACCACATATACTGCGGAATACACGTTAAAGACCCCGAGCTAACAGTTGTACTGCACTTTTTATAACCTTCAACGGGTAACAAAATCGCCCTACCAAACTGCTGCTCTCTAAAAAACTAACGACTAGTTTTGAATGTGCCGTTATGTTGCATTTTTAATGTGTGTTCGCTTGTTCGCGTTCTTTTTTTTTTTTTTTTTTTTTGTCTACATCTTTGATTATGCGGCCCTTACTTATAATTAGGGCTCGGAGTTTTCGGTTTAAACCGATAAAAACCGATAAAGGTACGCCGAATTCATTTTTGGAAATTCGGTTTTAACCGAAAAAGGTCAGTTTTTAGGTTCGGCATTTTCGATTTAAACCGATAAAAGTTCGTCCAGTCCATTTTCTAAAATTCAGTGTTAACCGGAAAAGGTCACTTTGACCTTCCAGTCGTACAACAGAGCCGTGGCAAAAAAGTGGAACGACAGTGTCTGTCGAAACGTGTCAGAAAGTATGGGATACACGAATGGCATCACAACGTTTTGGTTTAATGTGCGCATCATTGATCGGAACGTGAAGTCCGAAATGCCCCATGACTTCGCCGTGTACGAGCATGCTTTCAAACTCGTTGTAAGGAAGACTGACGTGATCCAAGCTCTGCATGTTGTGTTGTGCTTTAAAACGTCGCACCGTGCCTTTTTCGGCGGTCACAACTGGTTGATGGGCCGATGCTGGCTCAGGCAGCGCTTCATCTCCTCAGCCTGTCCGTGTCCAATGTTAGCGTTGAGAGGGCATTCTCGAAGCTCAGGGGCATATTAACAGAAGAGAAATAGTGCGGATTAAGGAGAAGAACCTTGGCAAGTACATGTGTGTGTACTATAATGAGATTGCGTAATCCTGATGTACAGAAAATGAAGTTCCATGTTTATTGGGCATAGGCTTCATATCTGACTTGTTTGTACTTCTATGGTTTTTTTCTTGTTTCTTTTACAGTTGCACACATTTGCCAAACGAAGTGTCCATTTCTTTTTCAATGTATCTGTGCCGTTCTTCTTTGAGTGATCACAAACATCAGAGCTACGTACAAGGATCAACTGATCCGGTGTCCGTTGGTGTTTATTTTATATTCACCGAAAAAAGCCGATAAACTTTTGTGGGCATAAATATCCGCCGAAAAAAACCGAAAATTGTATATTAAAATAAACACCGAAAAAAGTACGCCGAATTTTGAAAAAATAGAAACCGAAAACGCGGAACCCTACTTATAATGAACCAGACTATAGGTGTCGGACTTCTAAAAAAATATTATATAACTAAAAAAATGGCACGTGAACGCAACAGACAAAAAAAAAACATATAGGTGCACTTAATAAAAATAATTAAAATAATAGAATTGATTATAATTCTGTTTTCAGAGGTTTGAGCGTACCAAGAGCTATAAAAACGAACTCGATGCTTTGGATGGTGCGTTTGTTTACTGGAAGTATAGTTCAGGGCAGTATGCTCGCACTTGTATGTTCCGCTTCGCTCGCAGGGTAAAACCAAATACTTTACTGGTAATGTATTTAGTGAAACAAAGCTTATCTTCTGTATATGTGCAATGCCCTCAGTTTTCGCGTGACTACACGCTTGTTTTTGATCATTTATTTTCGTTTCCCACTGCAATTCAGTTCGTGTTCTTTTGTGTGCTACATGCATTAGAGACCAAGGTAACCCAGAAGCATTCTATTTCGCGGATTGTAAAAAAGCCTATGCAGCTCGCCACGTGTGCCACAATCAATACAAAATATTCTAAGCTTCACATATGACCGCTTGCCTGAGTAAACATTGTTGTTGCTCAAGAACAATTGTGATTGTATGAAACCACGTGGGAAAAACTCGTTCTAAGCACGCGACCGTTGGCGTGCAGTGAATACTCATAATCGGCGCCGAGATGATTGGTAGCTGTCAGCAGGTGGAGTTTCTCTATCAACCCAAACTTAGAATGTTTCCTTCTTTCTGTTGTAAGCAATGAGGAGAGGACTTACACCAAAGCTGAGGGTAATAAAGTACTATGAGCACTCAAACATAATGGCCTGAGCAGTATATGTGTACAAGCTTTAGCCTTTAATGCACCCTTAACTTTCGATGCACTCAACGCTAGTGTAAAATGTAGGGTTGTTTCATTCTTAAGTACCATGTGAGTGCTTACACTATATTTTATACAATGTCAAACTCTACCCGTTTGCATCTTTTTTCATTTTTGCACACCACTACTTGCGCGCATGAATCACCAAATTAAGACTGGCACAGAATGACACAAAAAAATTACAGGTTTTTTTTGTACCGCAAAAATAAATTACGCATCATATAACGCTCATTTTCCGCCAAAAGGTAGCGCTAGGTTACTACCAGACGCCAAAGTTTCATCCCGAACGGACATCTTATTCAAAAGTTATAGTGATTTTCTGAAAATTTTATTGGGAAAATGAAGCCCACTTTTGCCCGTTTTCGGTTTCTGGTGCCATAGAGCCCCATGTATTCGAAAACTCCGTCGGCCGCCATTTTCGCAATGAACTTTTCAAAAAATCACCTATAACTTTTGAATAAGGTATCGGATCGGGCTGAACTTTGACATCTGGTTGTGACCTCTAGCGCTGGCCTTGGGCGGAAAATGAGCGTTCGGCGATGCCTAGTTTATTCTTGCGGTAAAAAAAAGACCCTGTAATTTTCTTTTGTTTTTGTTTTGTGACATCGTGTACATTGCTTAAACTGTGTAAAAGCTATCCACAGACCAAGAATCTTTGCCTGACCAATCATTGCATTTATCACTGAATTCGTATTAAAACTAATTATCAGTTATTGCTGTGAGTAAAATTTTGAACATCGGCATTTTTTTTTTTTTTTATTATGTCTTCCGCACCAGCCCTACTTTGGGTTTACCAAACTCAACATCTAAACCTGAGTGTCATTTTTTGTGTTTTCCAGTCTCGTAGTTTTGGTCAAAATAAACACGCAGCTACCTAAATGAGACACCTGACCGCCCAAAAAATAGTTAATTATTTTTTTATTTTTTAGGTAGTTGAATCCTCAAGCTAGAATTTTGGAGACCCAAGTCTATTCCGTCATCTCCTTTTCCTGGAAATCCACAAAGAGCCAAACATGCACGACAAAAGGGCCGGCCCGTCATACTGCCGCCCGCCGAGCCGAGAAAGCAACGCTCGGTCACGGTCTTCTAGAAGATTGGCGTTCATTCTTGCACCCAGACGTAACTTTCGCCCTGCTTTCTTGTTCTCGAAAGTGCCAGTTCATCCTCGCCCCGAGCGCGCGACGCTCGAACCTTCTTTTCCGAACGTTCGAGATGGTGACGCACTGTAGACAAGCAGCTGCCAGCGACCTTGTCAAGTCACTCTCGCTCTCGCTCTCTGTTACGCTGCCGAATCGCCGCCTGCTTTTCTGCTGCCTCGACGCTCTTTGTTTACTTTTTTTTTTTTTGTTTGAAACAAGTTCGCCGATTAAACCTTTATTTGCCAGTTCACTGTTCGTCCTCTCCTCACCTTCATTCGTATCAGTATAAATCTGATCACATTGTAATATATGTCATTGGCCTCTGAAATCTCCGATAACGGCGCACAGGCAATTTTATATTTTTCAACGCGTCAGTAGTTTTGTTGTGCATGTGTCTCGCCATTCGCCTCAGGACGATTTTCGCGTTTTGTTCTGCCTGCATTTGCTGGAGACGTGAGCTCGGAGCGTGGCAACTGGCCCCCTCGCACGAGAACTGGCGCAGCCGTGCGCGTTCCAAAGAAAGCTCGTGCGGAGAAAAACAAGCAAGGGACCAGGGATGTCAAATTCAGGATATAGAAAAATACCCCACTGTATCGAAGCGCCACCACAGACGATTTCTCGGATTGGTGTACAGGCCTGGAAGGCGATCCCACCGCCATCTGTTAGTTCAGAATCACACTACCCAAGGGTGGGGTTGCACCTTAAGACAGCATCAACCGCGACTGCTTATCTCTGCAAGCTCGTCATGTCTCTGGTCAAGCGGGCAAGTGCGTGCCATTACAAGCTTGCCAAGGCTACGTTCACGCGCACGCTGCACATGCTTGCACGCATGGGACACCATGCAGTGAGGTGCCATGCTCGCAAATGTCTAAAGACGCTTTGCGCACGCGCCAGATTACAGCCGCCATTATTGATCTCTCGCCTTACACAGATGCCGAGCCAGTGAGAGGCGGGCGCTGACGAGCTTCCATAAAGGCCACTGCTGAGGGTAAGCACACAGCATAGAATCTAAAATATCAATGACATGCCCTGAATTGGGGTCACGACGAAATGAAGTAAATGTAATAAGAAGAAACAAAAACTGAAGGGCCGTTCTGGTGGTGCCCATGCGCAGCTGCCGAAAAGCGTCTATACCAATTCTTGCTACAGCCACATTTCCTTCGTTTCTCTTCTGTCCCAAAGCGCATTCGATAAAACTCGCTCAAAATCCGTTTGACATTAGGATGCACCGCGGCGGACGCTACAAGCCATTCCAGCCAATCCCGTGCCGAGAACGTGTCACCTGACCCCCTCACGTCGCTGTGTCATTCAAACTCGGCTCCGATGGCTCGTGGCCTTCACTGTGTTGTTTTGTTGCTCCCCCCCCCCCCTTCCCCCCTCCCCCCAACATCTGCGCCGACCGAGCCCGCATCTGCGGCATCGGAGCCCGCGTTATGGCCCGGCGTCGAGAGTGCGAGACTTAGCGACTGCTGTTAATCTCGCCCGTTTCCTCTGGCGTATACTTCATCCCCGGGCACGGAGACTTAACAGCGGAGTCGCACAGTCCGACGACTATACGATAACTAGACGCCCATGCGTAGCAACGACCGCCATCTTGAAGCTCCCCTTCGGTATATACAAGACAGCGGTACATGTCAGGATGATTCGCGGCAGTGTAAGCGCTTTCGTTTCCCGCGTAATGCCAGCCACGCTTAGGAAAGCGCGAAAATGGGTGCGCGATTCTTGAGCGAGCGATTCGCTTATTGCCAGGTAAGAATCATTCAATCGTTTATTTATCTACTGTCTGTAGGCTTTCAGTACTATAGTGCATTTGATCATCTCTTATATACTGTCGAACGTCAGGTGTGTGTGTGTGTGTGTGTGTGTGTGTGTGTGTGTGTGTGTGTGTGTGTGTGTGTGTGTGTGCGTGTGCGTGTGCGTGTGCGCGTGCGTGTGTGTGTGCGTGTGTGTGTGTGTGTGTGTGTGTGATATATTCCATTGCTTCTTTAACATGATGTATTGTGCTCATACTTGCTTTAGTGGGTCTGAACTAAATTGCTGTGTCCATGCGTAATTCAGTTGTTTTATGTCTATATGTTTTTTAAAGCTAGGAGTGTTACACATATGCTGCTGTGTCCTGCCTATAGTAGTGGCAGTGGCTTGGTATTTGTATTGGCTAAAAAATCTTATCCCCTTATCCGCATTGTTGTGCCAATAAAACAACGGCTTAGCGCAGCTTCAGCTGTTAGGGAATTGGTAGGATATTTCTCATTCGCTGAGATACGCAGTAATTCTCCGCTTTACTCTGCGTATTCTAACATACAGGTGACTTTAACGCCGCATGCGATTATCGACCGGACGTCAGCTTTTCTTTTCGTTCGAATGAGCGAAATCTCCGTCTATACTCTTTGCTAGATTAGTGCTGCGATGTTTTTTTGCGATTATAAAAGCTGGTTGAAAGAACTTATTGTCGTTAAAAATAACATTGATTGATCAAATACCTGCTAGAATGGGATAAATGAATATGTACATTTCGACACCTGCTTGCTATAGGTGCACACGTAGTTATATTTTTCTTATTATTAATTGAGTCGCCAGCGAACTTCCGCTACATTTCTCTCGTGTGCAATCTATGCAATCATCTCGTACTTGGTAGATGTATAGAACCAGGAAAAAAAATTGATGGCTCCTAGCCAGGGCTATTTTTACACCCGAACACTACAATCTCACCTTAAAGCGGAAACTAATCTAGCCTAATCGAGTTGCCACGGCCACTCAAATAGGCGGCCTTTACACAAGCGCTCTGACGCAAGTATAATCGTACGAAGATGGCACCTAGATTGTAGACGTATGTATGACAAAACAATGAAGTTTCTGCGAAACAAAAACAGGTTCCAATACATTTAACACGTGAGATCCATTTTAAGTGCGGAGCAATAGACCTATTGCTATATTACCCAAGCATCAAGGAGAACGCAGGCATTGGTGTTCCACGCGCCGCACGTGCCGGCGTCTGCAGTAGTAACTTTTCTAAAACAAACACCTAAAACAAATGGCATCTTGCACGCGCGTTCATCAACGCTTTATTTTGGTTATTTACTTCGAATCTTTCACACGGGGAAGGCGTGCGCGTGTGGCGCGTGGAACACCAATCTCTGCATTATCCTTGATGCTTGGGTTACAGTGAACTAGAATATAGGTAGGGTGTGTACTTTCCGGTGTTTATTTGTGAGGAAAATCGGCGGATGTTTCTCGGTGTTTATTTATTTTCAAAACACTGGTGTATTTCGGTGGAACGTCTCACGACGAGGCTAAAATCGGTGATTATCGGTGCAAAAAAGCGATTGACCGCAGACAAAGAGTTCCAATTTTATTCAGATAGTTCATACACTTCTTCTCTAGGAATCAACTATTTCTCACATTTAGTTATTATAATAGATGCAAGCATACTTTCATGCTTGCATCTACACGCAAGGAATGTGCTGCCGTCAAGTAGTGAATTCCACAAGACTAACACATTTTGCTTATCCTGGCGTGCGTAGCTGCCCTTCTCTTAGATAGAAGATTGGACCTGTTCAGACTTTTCACAAAAAAATGAAGTCTCGATGTTACATAAAAGCTGATAACGCAAGGCGTCAGGCTCTTTGCGTGATCTGCGCATCCAATCTTCAAGAGACCAGCACAGTTAATCATCTCCAAAATGTCCATCACACTCTCCCGGTGAACTTTCCGTACACTGAAGCAGCCTGTGAAGATATCCTCCAACACTGTTATGAAGCGAAAAAGTTCGACTGAAGGATACAGCAGGCCACCTTTGTCATTATAGCGCACAGTCTCTGCAGCATGCAAAAGGCGTCCCTCCTCTTCCGGCAGCAGGAGTGTGCCAACACAAGCAGAGCATCTGCTCGGAAGAACGCATTTTCTTGCAACGTACCCAGCCAGGTAGTATATGAGCCTAGAGTCGCTCCTCTGCACATGGTATTTATGTTCTATACTCTCATCCGAGGTATGTGAACTTGACAACGTTGCCTTCTCATCTGTGTGGGATTTCACTGTGTTGATCAGCATTTGCTTGGCAGTTTCTTGTCCCTTGTCTCCAGCGTCAAGGAGAGAGCTGATCACATCCTCATCTGCATTGCTGCCTGCAACGCTGCGTGCTAAGTTGTAGAACGACAAACAGTGAACTGTGAGCAAAAATTGTTGCGGCGTGGGGTGCGTGTTGCAACCTGAAGAGAGTCTAACTATTCCAAAAAAGTTCTCGATCTTGTCTTGGCTCAGCCGCGAGGTGAGCACGTACGTGTATCCTACCTTCTCACGCGAATAGCGGAGCAGCTCAAGAGTACTGGTGAGAGTGATCCTTAGTCCCTCTGCAGTCGACTTGCTTAGGAAGTGCAACTTATCAGCCTGATACTCCCATGTGTTCAGAAAATTGAGCATTTCTTTGATCTGCTCTATACCTGCAGAGCCGGGTCTCAGGGCTTCTGTCGGGTGTCTGGCAGTCATGACACTAATCAGAGATTTCATTCTCATGAAGAACCGTTGTGTTCCTTCGATGTCACCGCAGTTCCTCTGCAGCCGCGTGCGATAAAAGAAGAATGCTCGCAAAGGGCCCTGTCCGAACAGCTGAAAGGCGTAACTCACTCTCATTTTTTCAAAATTGTTGGGTGCGACATGGACACTTGTTATCCCTGGCATCACTTTCAAAGTGGCTGCACTGCCTTCCAGCTTGAGGGCTTCTCTCACAAACTGCATGCGTTTTGAAAGTCGTGGTGAGGAGTCTGTTCCGGACGTTCTTTACAAGGTGGGGAAAATCAGAAAAAAAATGAAGGAACCGGCTGCTGTCGACTGGATGTTGTATTTTGCAAATCACTTCTTTCAAAGATGCCCGCACGTTGAACATTCGCCACATTTTTCTGTTCCATGACGCCGCATCGCATGTCACATAGTCCACGAAGAGACCAGCCTTTTCTGCCAGAACTGTGGCCTCCAGCACAATTTTGGCTAGAAGGTCACCCTTTACGTTCTCATTGCTTCCAAAAGCCCCAAGAACTTGCGTCCAAGCGCCTAGCAGAGGGACAAACATTACAACAAGGCCTTGATTGCATGGCAACGTTTTTTGTTCATCAGGTGTGTAGGGTCCTAGGTTAACAAAGCCTTCGATTTCGGCTCCTGTAGTGACCGACAGGTGTTCAGAGAGCTTCATTTCATCAATAATTAATCCCCCGTGCCGATGAAACTCGTCAAGTTTGGCAGTCTTTTGCTTCAGTACTCTCAGCATTTTTTCATTAAAGCCATAACTACCTTTCTACTGAGCTGTGTATTTCCTAATTGTTGTCTCACTTGGAAGGGTCAGAATGCCCTGCCTACGCATGTACCGATAGAGCTTTGGGCTTTTCATTTTAAGCAGGACGCACTCCAGAATCCATTGCTTGTCATACCTCATGCCGCGTGTGTCTTTTCTCTTCGATGCTTCAAAGCATTGTCTGACAGCCAGTTGCTGTTTCGGTGGCAGAGACTTTATCTTTTCGGTAAGCACATCATCAGGAGTCGCGGCACATTCATTTTTCATTCTGTTGACATCTCCTGCAAGCTTGTCTAGCCTCAGTAAAAGGCGCTTGTTTTTGCGGGTGCATGCTCGCAGCTTTTGCATAGCGTACCCTCTGCTGCTTCTGGGCATTGTGTTACGTCTTTTGAGACGTGACTGCCGAGTAAAGAGGGCCTTTCTTAAATATCTGCAAGCGGTGCAAGGTGTGCCCTTTTTTGTCGCCCTTCCTTGGCAGTTAACGCTGAAAATAGTTCCAGACTTGCGTTCTGTTTGGTCTCGCAAGCTCGTTGTGAGGTTGCTCACCAGGAAAGCTTCGTTTAGTGCTGCGGCGCCGTTGCAGGGATGCATTTCACACACGCGCTGCAATACGTTTGCTGCGTCCTGCATGTTTGACATTGCCGAGCCGGCCACCAGCTTACCAAGCACAAACGCCTTTGAATAGAAAACACCGGCACTGTCTGCGGTGAAGAACACTGCCTTTTCTACCTTCACTTCACCGGTGAGCGAGTTGAGAGAGCACGATGTGAAACACACTCCCTCGGTGTCGTCAAGCTGGTGAAGAACCCAGTGCCTGTTCGGCGGTATGATTCCCTTCAACGTGGCGAGAGGTGTGACCACAGGGGGTCTGCTAGTACCATCTGGATGGTCGACAAATTCGGGTCCGTCTGAAGTCGATGGGCGTGACTTTTTTGCTGGCGTGACACCTTCGTCGCTTGTCACGTCCCGCTGATCTGTCTTGAGAGCCGCATGCATGCTTGTGCAAGGTGGGAGGCTCCGTGAATCCATGGGGACAGCGTCAGGAGCGAGTGTAGGTTTCCCTCGTGGGATGCGAACTTCCTCACCGTTGATCTGGTGCACATAGTCTCTAATAATGAAATGTGGTTGGAAATGAAGTTCGCAAATTACGCAGTCTGCGGTGAGCGGCTTGCCAGCTCTGTGCAAGCTCTGATCCCACAGCCTTCTTCGTTCAGGATCGGCGGGCGCCTTGAACATCGAGAGCTTTCTTGCGTCGTGGCTTCGGGCGTACCCTGTGTTGCATCCTGGAGCGTAGCAGTGGTTCAGACGTCTTTTAAGGCTCATTGACCCGTAGTGTCAACACGCAGATCGACTGGAGGATAGGCCACTGTTCTGAGCAAAGTAGCAATAGAACACGCTGTGAGAAGAAAGAAGACGAAACGCGCTGTCCGAACGTGCCCCAGTCTGCCCCATTCAATAGTCGGCGATCATAGCGCCGCCGCATCTTTCGCCACCGGCGGTGACAGCCAACACAAGGCGCTCCACTCTCCGCTCGCTCCACTGCCCTATATTCTAGTTCGCTGTACTTGGGTAATATATCAAATGGCCTATTCCACTGATCTCTATGTCTATTTGCTGGATCGCGTTTGACCAGCTCCTCCTATGGACCGGAATGCGGTCACTGGCGGCAATCTTTAGGTAGAGTTATATCATCTCTAGCCATCATAGTAATATGGCGGACAGCGCAATGGCGGCAGGCTGCCATAAAAATAGCCGTAGATCTAGTACACTGTACCGTGGGTGACATTTCGTGCTTGATTGAAGTTGTTCGACGAAGCAGATTCTTGAAACCCGGCGTGAACGGTAGCCTCATCTTTAAGGACCCGGCAAAAGTTCTACGAAAGCGCAGCACCGGGGGAAAGCAGCGCAGCTCGCATCAAAAGCAGACTCCGTACCGTCGTCTGCTTTCGATGCTTCTTTCGATGCGACTTTCGATACGTGCTGTGCTGCTTTTCTCCCGGTACTGCGATTTCGTGAAACTTTTACCAGGTCCTCAAAAACCGGACTACTGTTCACGCCGGGTTTCAAAAATATGTTTCGTCAAATAATTTTAATCAAGCACGCAATATCACCCATGCTATTTTGACCGCAGCCTGCCAACCCACCTGCCAAAACGCTCTCTGCCATGGATGGATGATAGCGGCTGCAGCAGCTTACATTGGCTAGAGGTGATATAACTCTACCTAAAGATGGCCGCCAGTGACCGCATTCGCGGAGCGGGCAAACGCGATCCAGCAATTGTCATAGAGATCAGTGGTCTATTCCAAAACATGTTTCTACAGGGTGATTCAACGAGACGCCAGGCTCCTTAAATCGACCGCCAAATTCGGTTTCTTAACCTATCGCGCTACGACTTTGTGCAGCGTTGCCCACAGATGGTGCTTTTATTTTATTTTATTTTATTTTTTGTAATTCACAAAGACCGAACTTACCTGAGGAAAAAGTAAAGAAACAAAAAGGCTTAGCTCCTATGGAAACGCAGCGACGCCACCGGTCTGCAAACAACACGGCGCCGTTTCGCACGCGAGACAAGAGATGGCGAAGCGGTCGCGACGCCAACTGCCACCGTTGAACGAGCATACGACGCCGAGAGCCGGCATCTTTAGCAGAGAAGGAACTGCAGTTCCTTGTTGTTACCGCACCTGATTTTGTTTTTGCAACTGTCGCCGCCCGCGGAACGCGCGCCGCTTTTTAATCGAAAATATCGTCTGCTAGACGCTGGCTCTCGGCGCCGTATGCTCGTTCGTTGGCGGCGTTCGTTGCGCCATCTCTTTCCTCCCGTGCGAAACGGCGCCGTGTTGTTTGAAGACCGGTGGCGTCGCTGCGTTTCCATAGGAGCTAAGCCTTTTTCTTTCTTTACTTTTTCCTCGTGTAAGTTCGCTCTTTGCAAATTTTACAAAAAAAAAATGCACCATCTGTGGGCAACGCTGCACAAAGTCGTAGCGCGATAGGTTAGGAAACCAAATTTTTTGGTGCATTTAAAGAGCCTGGGGTGCTATGTTGCGCTTTTTGGACTCCCAGGAGACTAGGAAGAGGGAAGTGACGTCAACGACACAGCAAACGCAGATTGGGTGTTGATTTCGTTTTCTTCTGTCAACATCCAATCTGCGTTTGCTGTGTCATTGACGTCACTTCCCTCTTCCAAGTCTCCTGGGAGTCCAAAAAGCGCAACATAGCACCCCTGGCGTCTCCTTGAATCACCCTGTATTTCCGCGAGTCGTACAGGAATGGGAGCACAAAATTGGAGCACGTGGCGATACCCAAAATTAGTCACGCGACGCTATAAAGTATTTCTAATGAATTTGTTTTTTAACACATAATTCAGTCACCGAAAAAATCAAAACTCAACACGTGTCCTTTCGAAAAAAAATGTATCTATAAATTTAGCTATTTTGTTTTTAGAAAACAAAGATTTCAATCTTCGCTTTTGAATGAAAGACATTTAAGCGTAAACCCCTCAGTTGCTCGAAACTTGCATGAATTGAAAGTACAACCAGAAAAGGTTTCGGTAAAAATACGTACAAAATAAAATATACAAAAAATAACAGAAGAGGCGGCACGTGTACCTCGTAAAAAAAAAAGTTGCGCACGTCGCTTCTTAATCAGTTTTCATGTTTCTTCTTCGTACCCTGCAATGTTTGTAGTAAAAAAAAAAAAACTGCATTCGGAAGCCGGGAGCTCATCTGCAATCTTAACAAGTGGTGGGCACGCATCCAAAAGACGACCAGCCAAGACAAACACAAACCCCCATTTGCAACATAAAAAAATAAAGATTAAGTAATCAACTCGACGTGATTCAGGCCATGAGTCGTTCCCAGTCAAATACATACGACTACGCTTGGACCGCGACAGAAACAAACTTTAGTCATACTGCAGTTCTCCTCGTGCTCCGCCTCTCCACGTCAGAGTGTTTGGGGCTTCCAAAGGTTGTATTGTTTTTGTTTTCAAACTGTGTACAACACGCCGCTGGAGGACTTTTGAGCAACAACGCTGCGAATGTTTCGGATGTCACAACACCGAGGTACGAGAAGTTTACGCATAGTAAATCCTGAAACGAGGGGGCGAAAGAACAGACAAACACAAAACATTTTTGTCTGTGTGTTCGCCAGTTTCTTTTTTCTCTCGCTCAGAGGTTTACTGTGTCAGGGGTGAACTGGGTCGCCTGCACTCTTGCTCTAGTTACACGCACTCCGTTTACCACTGAGTCAGAGAGTAGCCAACGCTACGAGCCAATCATAGCCAAATTAAGCTGCACCAGAAATTGTAACGTTATGGCGTTCATCGTTTCCGTGTGCTACCACTGCAGCTGTGTGTCAGTCAAGCGCATGTGAATGCGCAATATTATCTTATATTCTTATTTGTATGTCGTCTAGCTTTCCTATTCACCGCGCTTTGATGTATGAGGAAACGAAAAATAGTACGTGCAATCCAACTGTATAACGATACCGCGTATAACGATCTGTACCGCTTATAACGATCGGTTTCTATTACAGATACAACAATAATCGGTTATAACGATTACATTTTCGGGTTTTCTCAGTATCGTTATGAGTGGATCGATGGCACTTATACGGATTTTGCTAGACCGCTACGTCTCTCAAATTTCAAAGATTAACATCCATGTAGAGCGGTCGTGTTTGGCTCGGTTGAGGCGTTTTCTCAGCCCAAAACTCTACGCACATGCAAGCAGCTGCAGTCTTCGCCCGTTTTGGTCATCCCCTATATAGTGCCGTGTCCTTTATTTCTCTCAGAAAGCGCGCGACCCTCGAGTGTGCGCAACGTAGTTACACCATTACAAAACGTATTTCGGAATTTAGCCGTGCGCAGAGGTATAAAATAGTGGGCGCATATTGAACAAACCGCGCAGATACGCGGCGCAGTTTACTTCGAAGATAAAGGTAACGAAAGGTTACCCTGGTTCGACAAGTTTTGAGAGCGGAAATAGTTCAGTCACCCGACTAAGGTACAAAAGCCCGTAGGAGAGGGCATTTGTTGCGGGTCACCCTGGTTCAGTCGTTGAAGTTTCAAACGCTGCTTGTGAACCGAGTCTTTGTGTACCGCTCATCCATCATACACGAAGGTCACAGCGCTCGCTGCAGGCTCCATGACACAAGAAGCATACATACTTTCTTTTGTATCATGTATTAGCATGTATCCGTGGTTTAGGTATTTCAGTCTGTATATAGCATTGACAATATAATTTTATCTCTTCGTCCCTACAGAAAAAAAGAAAGAGAAGAAGTAACTAGAGGAAATGTGCGTTCTGCCTCGTGCTTGGATTGTGCTCCTGAGCTACCTATACGTTTCGATTGATTTGCTCGGAGGCAATGGCGCGTCGACGAGAGGACACCTGCTCGGAGGATGGACCGTACAGAACGCCAGTGGTAATCCCAAGTATCTTCAACTGGCCCATGCGGTGATTTCGAATCAAACGAAGGCCCACGACTACTACGATACTGTGCTCAACCTGACAGCTGTCGAAACGCAGGTGACGAATTCAGATCTTTTTTTTTTTTCCTTTCGTTATTTTTCTTTATTATTTTTTTTTTTTTTTTTGGGGGGGGGGGGCGAATTTTGCATTGACGGAACTTACACCGGCTAACTTGCGCCACAGCGCTTTGTTCGTGCATTCTTATATATATTTTTGTTTTGTCTATGTATACTGTCAGCTACTTCACGTGACTTAACAGTCTAAGGTGTGACGTGCTTGTGTGGAGGTTACTTTAATGCAGCCTCCACAAAAATGTAAAACGAGTTGAAAATGCAATGTTTGGAAAAGTGTTAGGCAGCCTAGACTGTAGAGAGGGTCCATCTCCGGCCATGGGGAGTGATTGCAATTTAATGGCGGACGACTCCTGCGGAGATTGGTCGCGAATGCGCATGCGCTGCGTTTCCTCGTGGAGAGGAGGAAAGCAGACGGAAAGGCGGAGACGTTCGCAGATGTTCAACGTTGCGCCAATTACTTTACTAGGGCGAATACATACCACTCCGCTCATTTGCATTAGACAGAACGCCTACAGCGCCGAATCCAGCCCTGAGGGAGAGGAGGTCCGCGTCAGTCCACGCGCATGGGCCCGTGGAGGTTCGCGGCGGCCGCGGCGGTGTCGTCTCCAATTCCACCTGAAACCCTTTCATGTTTCAAAAGTAGCGCAAGGTACGTCGATGCACGAGGCACGTGCAACATGCAATTCATGGGAAGATCATGGCGGCACAGCGCAGCAAAGTATTTGGCGCAGCACTGAGCTACAGTGTTCGAGAGGGGGTTGTAGTGGCAAGAGCGGCGGTCACTTTGTGAAGATTTTGCGCGTAGACGACACCATGGCGCTGCTGTTCTGTGCCCTAGGAGCGCGCCCCCGTCAGCCCCATCATCAGCGCTGTTCGGCGCTTACTACTGTGGTTTGACTGGAGCTTTTCGCGGTGCGAAACAACTGCTAATGTTGTTCTGTATACTCTGTTTCACCTTATGATGTACCGCAGGAAAGGCTACAAGCGCGAGCTCCTTGCTCTGGGGCACATCTCGGCGGCACAAGCTCTCGTGAATTAAGAGCAGCTGCCAACGTTATGAGCTCGCGCTTCTAGCCTTCGCTGCGGTACAACATATGGTGAAACGAAGTATAGTAAATTGTAGTACTGCCTTTGGACTAATGCCTGTAGAGTGTGTGCTATCCTCTACTTGAAATATTCGCGTGTTTTGAGGGAGATTATTTAATTAATATCGACACCCCCCTCCCCCCCCCCTCCCCCCCCCCCCCCCCCCCCCCCCCCCCAGTACTGACACATCGTTCAGCAACGCTATCACTTGGCTGCAGGCTTAATAGCCGCGAAACAAGTTCTACGGGGCTACATTTTGGAGAAGCGTACCGCGTCACCCTCGTCGTCTTCTTCGTTCATCGCACACGTGCCATTAATTCTCCTAGGGCACAGAACTCCAGCGCCACTCGCGGTATCTACGTCGACCGTCTTCACGCGCTTCATTGTAAGCGGGCGCCGCTCTTGCCACTACACCCTCTAGAACACTGTAACTGAGCTAGAGTTTATACTTCGTTTCAGCTTCGGTCCAGACGCAGCCGATGCTACGAGCGCGAGCATGTGGCCCAGAACAGTGCTTGCACTGCACGAGCGCGCGTGCTTGGCAGGGATGCTGAAAGCCTGAAGCTGGCGCTTGTAGCTTTGGCTGCGTCTGGACCGAAGCTGAAACGAAGTATAGACGCCATGTTCTTCCTAGAAGTGGCGCGCGGCACGTGTCTCGAGCATTTCCAGAACAATAAATTTGGTATGTAGAACAATTGCCATCATCACTATCATCATTTACCGCCCGATAGCCGAGACCTCCCCGACGATAGATGGCTCTCGCCAAGCCCAGAAAACCTGTCCGCGCCGAGGCTATTGTATTTGAGAGGAGTGGAATGTATTCCCCCTGGAAACCAGGGATGTCCTGGTTTCTCGCAGCCGCAACGAAGTCAAACGCAGGTAAATGCAACTGTTTGAACCCTGCTTTAGTCATCGGGTGCACCAACGTGCAATTCAGTTCCTCTAGAAGGGTGAATTCGAAACGTACGTGTTTAACTTCATTCATGAAACTCAAAGACTTTTAGCTTTCAACTACCCCGTATTTTTACAGCCTTGTCAACATTGTCTGACAACTTCTCCGAAACTTGACGAATATTTTAGGTACATCTGGAAACTGGACGTATTAGCGAAACTATGGCGCCTTAAACCCGCCTTCGACTGCTGTGTTTACCACGTCCTCGAACATGGTCCCTCCATGTCCGCCTGATGACGTCATTGAAGTGTCATGTGGACGCCGGCATCTATCCAGCCAGTGTCACAGCAGCCGTGGTGGATGTGACAGACGCCCGTTCTGTTGCAGGCCGCTGCCCAGCTCGACAGTTCACGGAACCTCAAGCCAGTAGTCACGAATTAAGACTTCGCGACGATACCGACATTCGTGTTCGCTCGTATACGTTCTGCCAGGACTTCTGTCACCAACCGCCAGGATTGCGACATCCGACACCACGACACGCCGACTTCTTTGGCGTCATTTTGTTGCCACTTAGGGGTCACTTTTGAGACATGGACGTTATAGGACTCTAAATCGGGGCAGTCGAAGGTCATATTTTTAAGTGTTGGAGGAGTTATAAACGAATAGTAATAAGCAAACAGTAAACAGTTTAGTTGTTGCACATTCAACGTACCTTTTTATTACAACCTGATATTCATGAATGCGATAGTAATCGTGTTTCTTGACGGCCTCATTTTGAAACGAACGTAATAAGAAAAAATTCACCGTTTTGTTTAATCTTTTGTGTTTTTTTTTTTTTTTTAGGTCGTTGCAGGAGTGAATTACAAACTAAACTTCACCACCGCAAAATCGATTTGCAAAACTGAGGTCTACAGCATGGAGTGCTGTCCGCCGAAAGTGAACGAGGTAAATCATCAATTCGTGACTTCCTTAGGGAGTTTTAGAATAGTGGTCAGCTACGCTCGTGGTCCCCTAAGCCATGGGGCGACACAAATTCAACAATACTCGCCCTGCCGGCTTATGGAAAAGGGTTTTCAATACGCAGCGTGGCATGCTTGCGTTTCTCGCCTGCAGCGCCGGTACGGCTATCAAACGAAATTAATAAAGAGATAAATATAAACACCTAATATATTTGCGCTTAATATTAATAAACACTTTTTGTTGCTTGGGTCGTAGATAATGGGTAAGGTAGAACCAAATCTACCCATTTTGGGCAATCAATAAATGTTTGTAGTCCCCCAAATTTATTTATTTATTTATTTCAATGCCCTCAGGGCCCAGGGGCAATACAGAGGGGGTGAACATAAAATATTGGCTCTGCATAAAATTCAAACAACAAGGCAACTTCGTTATAAGTGTTAGTACGGCATAATCCTAGCAAAAGTTAGTAGTTAGAGCTTTTCTAAATAAATCTATTTATAGAATAGTTACTAATGATGCGGGAAGGTGGTTCCATTCAGATGACGTTCTAGGGATGAAAGAGTTGATGTAAGCTGAAGTTTGGCAGTGAGGTATGCCAACTTTAAGTTTGTGATCAATGCGGGGAGAAATGAATGGGGGCTAATGAATAGTTTGTTTTTCAGCGTTTGTAAAATGACGTAACGTAACGTAACGTTCCGTAAGAAAACGGATCTGTTTGAACCAGCCTTCTGTTTGAACCAGCCTTTACACCGCACCAATTTCTTCCGTTACGTCTAAGTACCCGAAAAATTAGTGTCGCGAATGTCACGTGCCAGGCGATCTCCATCAACTGGTATCCACGCATGACATAAAGCACAGGTGTCACGGTGACTTGTACGTGAGCTTTCATGAGGCAACGAAACGTTACAAAACGAGGCCGTTTGAACCAGTGGTTAGGGTGAACAAAGTATATAGTGTATATACGTACGGGTGCAAATAAACCTGAAAAAGTTAAAGCAAGCCAGAAAGTAGCCAGAGGCATCTTCTACGCACATCTGGAGTGTCTATAGTTAGCCGAAAAACACTTGGAGTTGCCAATAGGGAGTTTTCGTACATCGTTTTCGCCTTTCAACAACGCCCTCCGCAACCCGCTACGATACCCGAAAATCTGCAGACAAGACCATCGGTGCGCAGGCGCATTAGCGGCTTCTTGGTTGCAGAGAGCTTAGCGGAGGGGGAAACGCGGTCTTCGAAAAATCCCTGAGGGCTGCAACTTACGGTCGGAGCTCGGCGAAGGACGAGGCCAAAATTATGTTAATACGTAAAAAAAAAAAAAAAAAAAAAAAAAATTGTGTGCTGTGATATTGCAAAAGGTGGAACATCATGCTCTCAGCCTTACAGCGTAGACAGTTTCTGTTTAGGACTGAACATCTTCTCGGCCTTGTCCTTCGCCTAGGCTCTTTCCGCATAAGCAGTGACTGGCTCTCCCAGGGGCTTTGGGGGGAACAGACGCTTCAGAGTGAGTGGTTGTAGCATGTAGGTTCGTGTGTGTGTGTGTTTGTGGAGGAAGAGATGTGGGAGTATAACTGGATAGGAAGAGGGAGTTTGAAGTGTGGAGGAAAAAAGAAAATGCCTGCATTTTGTTGGCCTGTACTCCTTAATCTGTGTTTATTATTCGGAGGCTTCCAATGTGGTGTAGCCCTCATTTTCCTCGCTGCGAATTCTTGCAGGCCGAACGGAATTGCACCGCGGTCGTTTACGAAGTTCCCTGGCTAAACCAAACTTCCATTACGCGTTTCGAATGCGAACCCCCGATGTTGGCAGCTGAAAAGTGCTGACATGCGAAGGAGGTAATCATCGAGATCCAGTCCAACCGTCAAGAGCGCGTCCACGTCTTTTGTAGGATCAAAATAAATTATTTGCCTGCGCCACGGTGGCCTGCGCGAGTCACTGTTTTCCTTTAGAACCTTTGATCGCGAACGTTTCTCCTTCGATTTCAAAAAGCAAATAGTTTTTTTTTCTGTTTTTTTTTTTAACATCTGCCGGCTTTCGGAGACTTTCATCACGTGTTTTTTAACTTATTATTTTACGGCCTCGCCTTTAGACTAGAGATATGAAATTTCCGGAAATTTTAACGGCCGGAAAAAACGACGAAGTTTTTTTCCGGAAATATTGGAAACATTCGAAAAATTTTCTCAACAGCTATAATTCAGAAAGGATTCGAAATATAGGGACAAAGGTCAACAACCGCAAGTTATTTCCGCTATTTTTATGGTGGACTATTATATCAACTTTTTTTAACGTTTACGACAACGTTTGTAAATTCAGCTAAGATTTGACTACTCATCTGGCAACAAGCGACAGCACATACGCAGGTCTTCGTTCCCGCCGTTAGCGCCGCCTAGTGTGGTTAGTGCCGCACTCTCAACAGGCAGCCGGAGGAGCGATATCACTTCAGCTTTCCCTGCCCCTTAGTGAAAGTCGTCAGCATCATACTCGGGTGTGGACACTTGCTGTGGACCGTGGATCTGTCGAAACTGTGTGTTGTGCGACGTAAAGAAGCCAGCTAGGGCAGCTATATCGCTTTAGCTTCCCCAGAGCCGTTTCCGAAACCTCGCGCGCATTGTTTTCCGGAATAGACTTTTCCGTGGATCCGTCAAAACTTTGCGCTGTGCGCCATAGTGAGGCCGCGCTCTAACGTTTGGGGGAACTTCGACGTGCTGAACAGTGTAAGATGCCAGCGTTGTGCAGATTTTGATGTGCCAAATACGAATTTCCCAATGAAACCCGCTTGCGGCGGCACATCGCGAGGTGTCCGAAGTGCTCCCTGACATCAGGTCCTGCAGCATCTGACGACCCGACAAGATCAGAGTCTGCGGCATGTCGGTCCAGGAGCCCATGTGTAAAAGTTTTACAATCAGAGCGTGCACCAGTGGAAAATGAAAGCCAAGCTCTCAAAATGAGGCCGACAGCTATGTCAAGCAGCGAACTTGTATAGCAGCGTTCGTTGACAGAATGACGCAAGAGTGTCGAAGCAAGCTTGATGAGGCGCTGGCTCGAGCGATATGTGCCAGTTACGGAAAACAGATACTAGCGAGAAGCGCTCAAGCTCCTCAGGCCCTCATTCGCGTCGCCTTCCAGGCATTCTTTAGATGAGTGGCTCTTGGAGGCCGTGTATGCCCGAGTGATGACGCAGGTGCGAGAGAAAGCCAACGCCGCTCTTTGCGTCACTGTACTCACGGACGGCTGGACCAATGCACACTGCGAGACCATCTTGAACTTTGTGGTTTCAACACCAATGCCTTTTTTTCTGTAGTGCCGTGGAAAATGAAGATCACATTCACACAGGAGACTACATCGCGGGAGAGATTTCGAAGGTTGGGGAGAACATTGGAACCGACAAGGTTTTCGCTCTTGTTGCCGGCAATGCAAGCAACATGAAGGCCGCGTGGACAATCGTCAGTCTGCGCTATCCTAGCATCACTATTCTTGGATGCTGTGCTCATGGACTAAACTTGTTGGGGTCGGCAATGCTGAAACTGGTGAAATGGCAAGAAGCTTGTAAGAGCTCCAAGAAGGCCTACTAAATAACAGAAAAGCTTTACAGAAAACTGTGATCGCTGTGGAGCTTTAAGTGAGCACGGAAATAAGAACAAGGATATTAGGTGAAGGCTACTTTTGGCGAGATGTGAAAAGCACCTTCCTCGTGTTGCAGCCAGTTGCCCGTGCTGTTTCTGAGGTTGAGTCAGACACTGCTGTTCTCTTAGACGTCCATGATATCCTGTTAAAGTAAGAAGACAAGTCGAAGAGACCGTTCCAAACTCTGCCTTGACAACGGGCAAAAAGGAAAGAGTAGCAGAAATTCTGCGTCAGCGACGCAACTTCATTTGTCGTTCAGTACATGCGGCAGCACATTTGCTTGAACCGAAGTCCAAAGGTGAAAAAGGGTATGTCACGCAATGGACTACATCACAGAGACGGCGGAGAGGATGTGTCTCGATGCAGGAAAAGTGTTGTCAAATTTTGCCGAATACCGGGTCCTGTCAGGTGCTTGGCCAACACCACCTAGACAGAAGGCCTCCACACGCGTCATCATAGTCGGATCGATCGAGGCGAGAGATTGGGCACGAGTGCTGCGTCAGTGTTCGGCTGCGGCTCGTGGCCAATCAGCGCGTCGAAGGTCGGGCTCGGGTCCAATAGCCGACCGAGCGCGATCCGACTGTGATGACGTTTCATAGAAGAAGAGGAAACCATGCGGAGGCCTTCTGTCTAGGTGGTGTTGGCTTGGCCGAGGAAAGCATGGAGGACTCGGCGAAACATATTTCACCATCCACGTGGGGGCGAGGGCTGTGTGCCTCTGAACTCCCGGAGCAATTGCTCGTCACCTTCTTCAAGTTCCACCTTCCTCCGCTGCATGCATGCGAACGAAACTGTCGAAGTTCAGCGGGGTCCACACCAAAAGGAACCGACTCAAATGACACACAGTGCAGACGTTTGTGTGTCATTTGATCCCTGCTCTGAAATGTGACGACAAAGATGACTCAAGCATGGAGTCAGAGTAGCTTTAACTACCACACTGCTTTGGAACATCCGCCATAATTTACATAAGATATCTAGTCAGTGTGCGCATATGTACCTCGTCCAATGTCGGATTTAAGTTTGGTCCTGTACTCTTTAATACAGAACTAGTTGTACCCTTAGAAGAGAAAAGGGTCATGACAAAATGCATCAATGTTGCTAAACTTCACTGCCCTTTGAATATGATTATTTTACGTGGCATTAAAACATGGCACTACCTTCATGATAGTACATACAGCAAATCCTTTCTTCAATAGTTAGCATGCGGCCATATTTCGTCAATTTGCTGTTATGTTACTCAAAGCTTTGTTCGTGTTGGTGCGGTAGTGCAGACTCGGTTTATTGACCGAGAAACACGGCGTCAACACATGCGTACACACTACACCAACAAACCTCGGCCAGCACTGTAATTTCTCCTACATATTAAGCATTCATCAAAGTCTTAAATATGTATAGCCATACTGAGCAGTAAAGCAACGGTCATTCCGGATGGTTGGTGCATAGTTTTTAGACAATGCAAACAAACAACGACGGGGCGAGGCGGCAGACAACCCGAGGTGGTTGTGTTTCCACACTTTCCCCGTCGTCGCGCTGTTTAAATTTGTTTTCTTACGGGCACAAAGATGTATTATGATTAGTTATGTGTGATTAAGTTTGCGCCTATTCTGCTGACAAAAGTCAATTCAGAGGTACGTGATGATTGTTTCGCCTTTCGATGGGGTCAGGGATATAAATTTTAACGTTCGTTGCAGAAATGTGCTTAATAGGTTTGTTAATACTTAAGAAACTTGTTTTTTTTTGTTTTGTTTTTTCAAATGCTATGTCGGGAAAAAGAACTTTTTTTAATATTTTTTTTTTGGCTTTTACATAATGATTTTACACCACCTGGCGAAGTGAATATCTGATTCGCTCCAGAAAGCCGGCGAGCGTACTTGTCATGCCAGCGCGTGAAACATTTAGGAGCCATTCGCAGAAGGCCCCAACATAGTCGCTGACAGGATGAGTAGGGCACGGCGTCTCTTTCGAATGTCCGCGGACTCCGGCACGGGTTCGTTGCCTACGCTGTGCTACAGTGTACTAGAATACGGTGTAGTGTTGGGACCGGAGCGGCTCGCGTGAGGCGTGTGGTGCCATAGCCTCCTCTATACTCACAAAGCCTGGCAGTTCGACGACGGAGCCATAGAGTCCCCAGTCGCAGAATTGCCGCGTGAGGATCTGGTAGCACAGAGCATCAAGGATCCATTTATCGAGGAACCTGGACGTCAGCGCGCAGCTTTTGCAGCGGCTAGGACCCGAAACACACTAGTTCGCTCGGTTGAAGTGTGTTTCGGCGTCTCGCCGCAGGGGGGCGCCAGTCACATGCCTCTCCTCTCATCCGTTGTTTTCCGCTTTTGTCGGTATAGACCGTTTTATCGTGGGTATCGCCATTTTGAAAGCGAGAGAGAAAAGGAGAAAGGGATACCGGCGCTTTCCCCCTTTCTGATTGTGTAGAAAGAGTGGAAGTCCCGGATGAGAGGCTTGGCCGGTGTTGGGCGTCTGCAGTGCCCCAATTTCGTTCGCGCTTTCTTCTACGTTTCAAACTCCCAAACTTAATTAGAGCCATGGTCTTTGATGGCAACAGTCCCCCGGTCACCGGGACACCATTGCTGGGTCATAGGGTGCACGAATAAAAACAGAAAGCATAGAATACTGTCCGAGGACATATGTAGCTTGAAAGAAATCCAGCAAGGCGAGAGCGGCTGCAATGTCTTTGAGCTTCACGTGACAAATAGGGGCCAGTCACGTGATAAATATGGCCCACTTTTCCGCGGCCCCCGCGGGTACCAACTACAAATTCGTATAGCGCCGTAAATATAGCTCTAAATTTTTTTTTCTTTGTAAATTCGTTTTATGATGATATTGATTGGGTTAAAACAGCGCAAAAAAGACGAAGGACCAGTGAAAGGAAACAAACAGACACAGCGCTGTGTGTTTCCACCTTGTTGCAGTTCGTTTTATGACTTCCTTTTCTCAACCCGGCTGTTTAAAAAAAGATTTTTTTCCTTTGCATGTGTCCTCTAAAAAAACTTTTTTTTTTAAGAATTTTAGGTGGGAATTTGATTCTGCGACCCTTCGAACACGCTACTCTTCAAAATCTTTCTTTGTTAGCCCTGAACATGTCGCCGTTAACATAAACAGATATGTGCCGTACACCTGAATGATGACCGTTTTTGAAGTTACCACACTAAACTTCAAAAAGGGGTCTATTGGTGCTTTCTAAATTTCTAAAAAATATCTATTCAAACTTGAACAAAAAATAAGGATCTGTATTTTACGCACGTGACTTGTTTCAATAATATAGCCTTTGCAGA